GGCAATCCACCTGATAAACCACTGTTTTCCCCCAAGGAAGGTGACCTTGCCTGAAACAATCCACTTTGCTTGTTTGAAGTTCGGTTATCCCCAAGATCACAGCAGGAAGCAGAAAGGAGATGGCTAGTAACTTCCTTGCCCCAACCTCTTCCACCTACAAGTCTTTCATCCTACACAGCTCTTCAATGCTTCTTCCTATTTTCTAGATGGGATGCTGCCCAATTCATGGATCATTGAATAAAGCCAAGATTTTTAAATTTTACCTAGCTAAGTTTTGTTTTTAACAAATTGATATGTAATAAACTACACATATCTGAAGTATGCAATTTGATCAACTCTGATAAATGTATTCATCTGTGAAGCCATCATCAAAATCAAAGAACCCAGGAGGATGACACATCCAAATATATATAATGTTTAGGTTCAGAGCACCATAGAATGATGAGGAGGATAGGCATGAGGCCAGCTCCTAGCACAAGATTTCTTGTGCTTTGAGAAAAGTTCTTTCTCAAAATGATAGGTGGCCTCTGATGCACTGGTAAATGCCACAGGACAGAGGTTTGCTTGATGATCCTGGTATTAGTTCTAAAGGTGAGGCCTGGGTCCCTAAGGATGGATCTCTTGGTGGCTGAATTCTCAAAGTGGAAAATACCTAATGGGAAAAGTGTGCTCCAGGGAGCACCCCAACTGGGGGCAGATTCAAGGTCTCTTGTTGAATCTTCCCTTTTAGCAGAACTTTCTCTCATTGGAGCAACTCTGTTCAAATCTCAAATGGTCAAGACCTTAGTTTTAATGCCATAAACTCTTTCCTTATTCTAGCTCTGTTCAGTTTTATGCAAGCTCTTGGTTTTTACCTGCTGAACTAGTTATTCGTGCTAAAGGAAGAGACTAAGATGATGAAGGCTCCAACTATCCTAGGTGACTGCAGTGGAACTTAGCTGATACATCATAAGGGGATAAAGGCGGACTGCACCCCCAAAGGCATTGGCTAATACCAGCTGGTTTCAGAGGGCTGTTTAGAGAGAAGTTAAGTTACCACCAAGATCACAGCAGGAAGCAGAAAGGAGATGGTTTCATATGCTACTGATATAACCAGAAACAGACAAAGTAAACAACAGAAGTAAGATCTCAACCAGCAGTCTCCATGCCCATCAGAGCATGGGTGCACAGCCTCAGATAAACTATGGATCGGAATATTTCTCTCCACTGTGTTTTGATGCACCCCAGAAGGAAAAATAAGGATTTTTCTTTTAAAAATAAGTTTGTGTATGTGTGTGAATATGTGCATATTTATACATCTAGAAGTAGAGACATCAAACTGTTGACAATGAGTCTCTCTAGAATGGGGTATTGGGAGTCCTTTTTCTTCATTTACATGCTATTTGTAAAAGGTTAAAAAAGAAATGTGGCCATGGCCGGTTTGGCTCACTGGATAGAGCATCAGCCTGGGGACTGAGGAGTCCCGGGTTCGATTCCGGTCAAGGGCATGTGCCTTGGTTGTGGGCACATCCCCAGTGGGGGGTGTGCAGGAGGCGGCTGATCGATGCTTTCATCGATGTTTCTACCTCTCTATCCCTCTCCCTTCCTCTCTGTGAAAAATCAATAAAATATATTTTAAAAAAAAGAAAAAAAGAAATGTGACTTTCATAATAATAATTTTAAAAAAAGAACCTGGAAAGTTCTGAATAAACACAGCATCTGTAGGGTGTCTCAGGTTTGGGCTGGGTGGCCTGTGTCCTCCCGACCTGAAGGTGCTTCTTTTCCAGGTGGCATGCAAAGCTCTCCGAATAGATGTATCCGCAAGCCAAGCCTTTGTTTCTCATGGAAAAATAATCCAGTTCTCCAACAAACAGTGTGACTATTTAACAATGGGATATTACCACAACTTACTAAACAAACTAGCTCTTACCATGCTACTGCCCTACCACTGGCGATCTTCCCAAGAATCATTAGTCACCTAAAATATAAATTCTACAACCAGGAATGGTTCTTTTACTGCTTAGGCTTACATCTTCCCTCCCCAGCCATGTTGTAAGATACTCATCTCAGAGGGTACAGGGTTAGCAAAGACAAATAAAACAAGATAGCATCTTCCTTAACAAGAGAAAAAATAAGCCATGGAGGTTGATGTTTTGCAAGAAATAAGGAACATTCCTCATACTTTATGCTGTGCTAATACTCAACGGATGAGAAATTTCACAAAGATATACATAGCATAATCAAAATAAATTAAATTTCCTGAAACAGTAAATAGTTATTACTGAATTCACTGACTAATTGTCCCCCCCCATTATAATGAAATGTTTCAATTTGAAACAAAACTGTTAAACCTAAACAAAAAAGAAGGGGTTATGTTTGCTAGCTTGGTAAGAATGCCTTTTGCTGTGACCTCTTGGCTGCATTTGGCAGTTTGTCACCTTCCACAATTTAAAGTCCATGGTTTTATGTCCATTAAATATAGGGTGTCCCCAAAAGGTATACATACACTTTGAATAGTTATAAAGGCAGTGTTTATTAAAACATATTTCATTTTTCAAAATTGAGCTGCTAAAGTGTGTATACATTTTTTGAAACACCCAGTATTTTTAATTGATCACTCATGCTTGTCTAGTTATATGCCTATTATTGAAGTGTGTGCATTTTCACATAACAAATCACTATTCCCATTTGACAATTCAGTACCTTTGTGCCAATCAACCATGTAGAACACCATAACCCACTGAGGGTGTACAAAGAGGAATATGTGCCGTCTAAACTCTAGGATTAAAAAGCTCATTGCTTTAAGAAAGCTTCATTTTTCCTGTAGTCCAGTGCTACCAGCATATTTACTAGAACAACCAGAATACATGAATTCAATTTCTAAAATTTTGTATCATTTACAGGTTTTTTAACTGAGTAAATTATACCCCCTAACCTTCCTGAAAAGATTCATAGTCATGACTGGAAATGGATAGAAATGGTAAATGACATGGTAGATGCATACTAGTAGATCGTCAAACATGCATTACAAAAAGGCTCATCTATAAAACAACCACAGTTATTCTTCCCTTTTATATTCCTCAAGAATAAATTTTTAAGAAAAGGACTTAATGTTTCCTAACCTCTTGCATGGGGAACTATGTTTGTTTTCATAAGAAAATGATCATTACCTCCACAGGCTTGGATGATGCACATCATGCCCCATAAAAAGTTCAATGGTTATGGACTTACCTGGATACATTTGGAGAATTTTTTTCCTTCTTCTCTTTGTTGCATTTCACTACCCTGACTCATATTTTACTACCCCCTTGGCTCAGGGATAGATAGACGCAATAAAACGAAAGTCAAGTTTTCACAGACGACAGTAAACATGCATTATGAATATGAAACATACCATCAGATACATATTATGCTCATTGAGCATACATTTTAGAACTTCCTTCGAGACACTTTATGACTAAGACTGTAATCTGGAACCATTCACTGTCCTTAGCTTTAGAATTCTGCATGGTTTCATGAGAGGTTCACTTTAAAAAATGCAGTCTAATAGCTTAGACTTTGAATCAAACTTATAGCTTTTGAATCAAACCTGTCCTTAGCTTTAGAATTCTGCATGGTTTCATGAGATGTTCACTTTAAAAAATGCAGTCTAAACTTATAGCTTTTGAATCAAATAATATAGGTAAAAGACATTTTTAGTTGAAAAACCAGAAAAATACCATTAATCCCTTTTCACAATGAAACAGAGAACAAAAGTAGCAATAAAATATCAGATTCAACTAATAGATTAAGAAATCTGTAGACAGTCCTATTTCACTCTTTGTTTGCCCCACTTTGGGAACTAAGTCCCTGAATGTTTAAGAGACTTCTCCAAAATAACATGGGATCAGGCTGAACCCCCAACATCCTAGCTTCTAATCAAACTATAACTATGCTTTCTCCTACAGAATGTTCAAGCTAGGACTCTGGGTCTCAGTTCTGGCTTCAGTTATACCAACATGTCAGACTGCCTTCACTGAGTGAAGGACACCACATCTTAAGATCAATATATTCAAATTGCCCAATTTGCATATACACAAAATTATAGGCAGATGGGGGTGGGTATAGAAGTCAGATGTGTACGAATCACTTACACACAAAACCATCACCTTAGTGTTGCCGTATTTGCATGCAAGTCGAACCTGCAGCTAGTCATACATGAATTGCATTAAGAATCAACACATTAGGGCTGCTTAATTTTCAGAAGCATAAAAACTTATAATTATACGTGGGGATCATGTGCAGTGACTATATTTAAGACCAACATATTAGGGCCCACTAATTTTAAAAACTTTGAACTTTCACAGTTTGAAGATACTTGTTCTACTGTGTGTGTGTGTACAAATTTGAGTCTCTGGTATCACTCTGAAGCACTTGATGTGATTAATATACCTAACAACACAAACAACACATTTCTCAGAATGTATCCCCACAGTTAAGAGGTACATGATGGGATATATATATCCATCCCCACAAACATGCAATTGAGCAACTCTAATAGTTTATATAGCTCACGTACTAGATCCAATCCACAGTGACAACCTAAAGAGCCACTGAGGAGAGAGCGAGCGAGCTAGGAATGACCATCCTTATCCTGGAGGATGAGGAACTGTGGCCCCCTTCTCCTGTCCCTCAGAAATATGTGTGTAAATAGAGAGAGTGGAAAAGTAATTATAGGAAGGATTACTTTGAATAGATTAGATCATTTCATACTGGATAATCTCTTGCTATATTGAGTAATTCTATAATAAAGTAACTGGAAAAGGCTACCACTGGTTGGTTCCAAGTGGCATACGCATAGCAAAGTTTCCTGTAGGTTGTAGACTTTTGTAGCTTTGATGCTGCTCATGTTGGCTTTCTCTACTCTTAGGAATACCATTCTGCATATATAAAACCTCTTGCTCTCTACAATTAATTTGGTTTCCATCTTTACAAAAATGAACACATTTGAAATGCATGGTGTGGGGTGCATTTTCACTTACCTTTTCCGCTGACTGAGCGGTGCCAAAAAAAATTGGAATGAAGGCAAGCCATACTATACATGTCGTGTACATAGTGAATCCAATGGGCTTGGCTTCGTTAAAGTTCTCTGGGACACCCCGAGTTTTGATGGCGTACACAGTACATGTGACCATGAGAAGAATGCTATATCCCAACGAGCAAATGATTTGCAGATCTGTGATGTCACATTTGAGAACTCCCCTGGCCAGCTCGGGGTTCATTGTCTTATGTTCATCATAGTCTACGATGATGTTGGGTGGGTCAACGCCAAACCAAATGAAAACACCTAGAAGCTGAACTGATATTAAACTTGAAGTGATGGCCAGCTGTGATGTCGGGCTGATGAGTCTGGGAGCTGTCACTGATTTCTTGCCCTGCTCAAATATGCGATAAATCCGATTGGTCTTTGTCAAGAGGGCTGCATAACTGATGCACATCCCCAAGCCCAAGAACACTCTCCGGAAGGAACACACCGCCACGTCAGGCTTGGCTATCATCAGGAAAGTGATGATGTAGCAGAGAAAGATGCCCGTCAGCAGAACATAGCTGAGTTCCCGCCCAGATGCCCGGACTATGGGCGTGTCATTGTAGCGGATGAAAGTGGCCATGACAAAGATGGTGGCGATGATGCCCAGCATCGCTAAGAAGACGGGGATGACGGCCCAGGGGGAATGCCACTCCAGCTTGATGATGGGGATATCCTGGCAGCCAGTCCGGTTCTCATTGGGCCGCTGGTCATAAGGGCAATGCTGGCACGTATTCTCATCGAACTGGTACTGGTAGCCGTCACAAGGCTCGCAGGTCCAGCAGCAGGGGGTTCCCTTCTGGGTCTTCTTTCTTTGGCCGGGTTTGCAGGGCTGAGTACACACGGAGTGGGGGATCTCCCGGACTCCTTTACCCCATTGCATGTCCTCGATCTGCAGTGTAAGGGATACGAATGCAACAGCGCATTATTCGAGAGAAAAGGGAAAGAATGGCAACAAACATAAGAGAAGTATTTGACCACCTGATGAGGTCATGTGATTTACTCCTCTAGTAGGATCTACAACCAAGATTTGACCCCCTACCAATCCATTGCAACATCCTTACCATTCACATAGTCGTAGAGTATGTTCCAAACATACTTGATTCTAAGAAATTCCTGTGACAATTTTAAAAAATACTAGTATAAATTCTTTGTCCCCATTCCTGACCTCCCAAATAAGAATATCCTGAAAAAGAGCCTTTGGATCTTTACTTTTAAGAAGTTCCCTGGGGAGTTCTATGATTAGATAAATTGAGAAATACCCACATGCTCTCTACTGCCTTCTCCAGGATAAATGCAAATGTCCCAAACCACAGTAAGAAACACAAACACACACACACACATACACACACACTCAACACTCTGAAGTAATATAAAAAGCTAAATTCATCTCCATTATTAGGTGCTTTTAAAATGTTTTAAAATTATTTTAAATTCTGTAGCATCACTGCCATTGTCATTGAGAAATTGTGAAGCAGAGTAAGACTTTCATTTCATTTATCACCCAGGAGTGAAAAGGTTCACTTTGAGGGCTTTAATTCTAGTGGAGGATATCCTAAGAGGTCAGGAAGCATTTGATCAGAAAATAATATGGTCTGGAAACCTTTCAAGATTGGCCATGTACCTATTTGGAGATGAAAATTAAACTAAAACACTCTAACTTAGAAGAGGATAGACAAGTGTTTGCTTAATAAGAATATTGATTTTCTGGAAGGGAATCCATATCAGCAGTGTTCTGAGAAATAATGGCATTAGAAATACAACACTTTACTATTGGGCTGGAATTCATGGTGGTGGACACTGCTCAGCTTTGCCAGAATGGCAGCTACTGTTCTGCTTTTCTGAGGCCACTTTCTCAGAGCTCTTTTCTGTGAGTTTTCTGTGAAAGTTACACGGAAGCTCCGGGGGCAGCACACAGGACACAAGCGTGGCCAGTGAGTAGACCACAGTGGATCCCAAGCCTGACTGTGCAACAGAACCACGTGGAGGACTTGTTGCAACCCAGTATGCTGGCCCTACTTTCTAATTTTCAGATGCACTGGGTATGGGATGGGACCTGAGAATATGTATTTGTAATAAAATCTCAGGTGCTGTTGCTGGGCATTCTCTAGGGACCACACTTCACCCACCACTGATACATTCTCCTCCCAGAGCCTGAGTCAGGGATGGGATTGCCTTGGAATGGCACAGGATTTAATTTCATGTTTTTTCCTGAGATTGTACGGATTAAAAATCTTTGGTTTTGTTGGACTTGCAGTTTCCAGCATGTAGGGATGCTGGCTGGTGCTTATGGCTACAAGAAGGAAGATGTTTGTCAGGAAAAGAAGGAAACACAAAGGAAAGCAATGCAGAAAGTTGAAGACAAAGATTACTCTTGAGCCTGTTTGAGCCACTGGATATAGCTATGCCTGAAGCAGGAATTCCCGAGGTTGTGCCATTATGTAAGCTAGTAAATTCTGCTATGCTGAAACACTTTACATAGCATTTCTATCACTTGCAACCAAGAGTCCTAAAAGTTATATGTACTAAATAATTTCAGCATCTACAAGTTGCAAAAGATACACCTACCAAATTAATGAGAGAAGAAATTAAATTCCAATGAATAAATTTGGCTGATATTCCCCATGCTTACTTAATTGAATTTTTAATACAAAAATAGGTTAGAAAGATACTAGAAAGTCTGAGGCTTTTTTAAAAGATAAAAATAATTTTAAGAGATAAGAGGGAAAGAAAATTAATTCATAGCTCATTGGATTTTCACTACTGTGTTAAACAGGATGTAATTTATAGCGGGGTGTGATATTTCTATCAAACTTGAATGAGAATTACCTTGAAAATCTGAATCAATGTAGTTAACTCTGAAAAAATATGGCTCAGGGTTTAAACTTCATAAAACATCATATCCTTGCAATGACTGAATTTAGACTTTAACCAGAGACCCAAGAATATTCAGATGACTCATATGCACTCATTTGCCTGAATACCTGAATACAAAACCCAAGTCAGCACTAATAACTCTAAGTATAAATAAAATAAATCTAACTAAATATGAAACATCAATAATTTTTTCTCTCAACATCATCATTTTGATGGAAGTAAGTCACTGGCAGCCATCCCCAATTCATAAAATTAAGGAAATCATTTGTAATAAGAGCGAAAAAGATGTGCATTCACTTTACAAATGTCAAATTTTAAGAACCCGGAATCTAAAAAAGTTACTATTAATATAAAGGTTTTCAAATGTCAAATTAAAAGGCCCTAGGCCTGGTTAATAAGATAAATTTAAAAACTACAAGTGAATTTTATTAGCTAAACTTGAGGTTGCCTATTCCAACATAAGTGGATACTAATATGCCATGATTAAGCTTGATCTTTGGGAACAGATGTAGGGCTCATACAAATACAGGCACAAATAATCATTCTGTCATATTCTACAGTCAATTTTAAATGTTGCCAGCTCACTACTTCTAGTTCCCCTTGATTAAAATAAAATGCCTACAATGCTGAACAGCTTTTTCTCTCAATTTACCCAAATAAATAAGAATTGTAACTATAAAAACTGCATTGACTGATTACTTAATTTGTTTTCGATTTTCATTTAAAGTAGATCTCAATTTAATTGCATATATTAAACCAACAAAGTTGCCTCCTGCTCCAAATGAACAACAGTCTAATTTACTTGCTTTGCCAATTGAAAGAATTATTGATAATACAGGGTGGGGCAAAAGTAGTTTATGGTTGTATAAGAAGCACAGTTTATTCTTGTAGCAATTATTAATTATTGTATTATTCTCCATACAAACAATGGTAAACCTACAAAGGTACCAAGTAACCTGTAAAAGCTCTGGTAAGTGAGGATTTTGTTAAAGCAGCGCATATGACTTGTGCATATCTATACCCACATACACAAATTCAGTGCTTTGTTTCATATGAAGAAACAGCCACCTGCAAAAGACGATAGGCAACTATTTAAGGGAGAATAATAATTTAGCGCTATGAAAAAAACAACCATAGTCTCTGAGGGCTAGTAGGGATGCAAATTTCAAGTTCCTTTCTGAACTCTGCAACAAAATTGTCTCAGTTAGCTGGAAAGCCTAACTTATATGGATAGGTGGACTAATGTTTTAGGAAAGAGAAAATTATAAAGTTCTGGTCAATGAAAGCAACAATAAGCCTGTTGTGAAATCCTAGGAAAGTGTTCTTCATTCTTAAAAAAGAGACAGAGAAGGGATATGCTGTCTTCAGCCTTTGAACTTTGATGTGTACAAAAATGATGTGAGGAACTGCAGCAGCCATTCTGTATCCATGAAGAGGCAAGTCTAAGGAATAAAGCCAATATGCTGAGAATAGAAAAAAAAAGATAAAAATAATCTGTGTCTTTGATAGCGTAATTATGTCACCAACTTAACCAACACCATTGACTGGTACCACTCTACCACTGAAGTTCTAATACAAGATAATAGCTTTCCTTAATGTTTAATCAATTATTTTTAAATATATGTTTTCATTAATTTTTAGAGAGACTGGAAGGGAGAGAGATAGAGATAGAAAAACTGATGAGAGAGAAACATCAATGTCTTTGATAGCGTAATTATGTCACCAACTTAACCAACACCATTGACTGGTACCACTCTACCACTGAAGTTCTAATACAAGATAATAGCTTTCCTTAATGTTTAATCAATTATTTTTAAATATATGTTTTCATTAATTTTTAGAGAGACTGGAAGGGAGAAAGATAGAGATAGAAAAACTGATGAGAGAGAAACATCATTGGTCGGTTGCCTCCTGCATGCCCCCTACTGGGGATGGACATATTCCCTGACCAAGAATCAAACTGGTGACCTCTTGGCTCATGCTCAACCACTGCACGCAACGGCCGGACTAATTAATCAATTCTTCATGGCAGTCTACTACTTGCAGCCAAACATCTAATACATTCTTTCTTGCTTCTGCATCTGGTGCAGACCTTCTGAATCTGTTAGACAATTGTTCAGTAATGCAGGTTCTTAGATGAATAACAGATAGCTCTGGAAGGGAAGGGTACCGTTGAATCACACATGGTGAGACACACTTATCTCTGTCTCCTGAAAATGCTCAGATAGCAGGGTTGTAAAGTCCTGGACTCAGAAAATCAGCTGTGACTCCACTGCTTCTTTCTCAGACAAAAAACAAGGAAAAGCCACCTGTCAGCTATAGGTCTGTGCCACATGCGTTTGGCAAAGGAAAACTGGGTTCTGGCCCTAGACGAGAGTGTGTTACTCTACAGGGAATGTGCAGACCTCATAATCACTGGAATTAAAAAATAAAACCAAATTAGTTGCTGTCTGACTGCCAAATGCAGGAATCAAACAGTGACAAATTTTATAGTGTTTGGAGCACCCATTTCCATCTAGAAGAGATCTGTTCCTTTCCCCCACACAGCCACTTTCTCTCTGAAAGAAAATGTTGTCACTCCAGATATATTTTCTTTGGTGAAATTGAATTTGCCTATTTCTAAATCCTACTGTGTAGACCCAACTGGCTGTGGCTTCTATTGGGTACTTCTCTGTAATATTAGTTTTCCTTATTAAAACCTTAATAGAATGAGATAATTTTAAAAGAGCTTTCTTACTAAAATGCCATTTATTCAATAAAACATATCTGTTGTATCTAATTTATAGAAAAAGATTTCTAGGAAAATGCAGAGAAATGTTCACTTTTTAATACTAGAAAAAAAGCCAGGTTTGGGTTCTGGTGGAGGGAGGCTAAGGTGAAGTGGCAAAAGGGAATTCTGTAGCACTTCAGTGTCTTTTTTTATTTTTAAAGACTCAGCCCCTATTTTTATACCTTAGGCAGCATACCTGTACTGTGAAACAACATTTCAGGACTGATGTATTACAATAAAAACAC